CTCTTCTAGCTTTCTTGCTACAAATGATAGGTGGTTTGTGGTTGATACGTGGCCATTTCAGTTCTTGAAACACTCAAGCATTATAGAAGCAAAACAATGCTCTCCAATTCTTTACTACAAGCTCTTCTTCATGGTCCTTCAGAAGGGTTTTGATCAATGTATTTGACCACTTGCCTACAATGGACTGCAGTGCGCTCTTGCATGCTGTATTTGTGGATAGCTCAAGGGACTGCTTTTTTGGGACCTGCTATGTGAAAACAAAACAAGTTGCTTCAAAGGAATTAGAACTAATAAAACCTGGTTTCCTGAAGTTTGTGTGTGTGTTGAGTTTTTTTTCCCTCTGTACTCACCTTAATGCCACATGTCCTCCGAGTTCCTGCCTGTCCTATGCCCAGCTGTCTCCTACATCAGCTATGCTGTCCTACTCCCTGTGCCCACATCCTAGCCCAGCACACTGTGCCTTATTATTCCCTGATTAATTAGTCTATGGATTCCAAGTTTTTTACAAACTTTCTGATGAAAATTAGTTCACACAAGTAGCACTTTTTTTAGCAAACCGAATTACTTGACTGTTTTTTTCTTTTCCTCCCTGCCATCTTTGAGCAGATCCATACTGTTATGGTTATCTGTGTAACAGTCAAGGGCAAGTGATTATGAGGCACTATTTAAGAGCTTGAATATATATTCATGTATGTGTATATAATTTGTACATATGTATGACTTGTTCACTTTTATCATGTTTTTTAGCCTACCTCTTGTGTTTAGAACACCACTCCTGTCATGTGAAACAATATTGTCACTATACCCTGTCACCCAGTAGTTTATCATGATTTTATGATTATTAGACTGTCCTTCTAAGATCAGGGAAAGATAGAGAGCCCTGTGGAGTTTTTCTTCTTGTTGTTTTCAGATTATTTGTGGATCTGCACATCGCTAAATCCCTTGTTTAGATGTGAGTCAGCTGGGAAAAACAAAGAAACAAACTCTGCTTCCATCTTTTCAGAGCTGATAAAACTGCTGTTCCCATTATCTAATACGTCAGTTAGACTGAGCAAAATTGCTTCCTGTTGCAGAATACTCTGTATCAACACTCATAAGCAGTAATGTTTATTTGTGTTCTTAAATTATCAAATATTTGTTTAAGTGCTTGGGTGATCCAAACAATAAAGTATCTGCCTCATCTGAGCAGCTCTGATCTGCCTAAAGCTGAAATAGTAGCTTTGAATTTTCATTGTGTCACCTGGTGAAAACTGAAGTTGCTTATATTTAAAGCCGTAGGCATTTCCTTCTGTATTGGGTTTGTGTGGCAAGGTTTTGGTACTGGGGGAACTACAGGGCTGGCTTCTGTGAGCAGGTGCTGGAGGCTTCTCCCATGGCATGATACAACCAATGCCAGCAGACTTCAAGACGGACCCACTGCTGGCCAAGGCTGAGCCCATCAGTGACAGCGGTAGCGCCTCTGTGATAATGTATTTAAGAAGGGAAGAAAACCTGTGCAACAGCAACTGGGAGAGAGGAGTGAGAATAAGTGGGAGAAACAGCTCTGCAGACACCAAGGTCAGTGAAGAATGATGGGGAGGAGGTACTCCAGGCACCAGAGCAGATTCCCCTGCAGCCCATGGTGAAGATCATGGTGAAGCAGGCTGTA